TAGTCCTGAAGCCCAGGTTCGATTCCTGGCGCTGGCGAGAAAACAAAATAGGCAGAGTATCTTTCACCCTGATGCCCCTGTTACCTAGCAGTAAATAGGTACCTGGGAATTAGACAGCTGTTACAGGCTACCTCCTGTGTGTGTGTGTGAAAAAAAATTAGTTAGTAGTAGTTAGTAACAGTTGATTGATTGGTAGTTGAGAGGTGGACCGAAAGAGCAGAGCTCAACCCCGGCAAGCACAAATAGGTTAATACACAACTAGGTGTAATACACACACACACACACACACACACACACACACACACACACACACACACACACACACACACACACACATACACACACACACACACACACACATACACACACATACACACACACACACACACACACACACACACACACACACACACACATACACACACACACACACACACACACACACACACACACACACACACACACACACACACACACACACACACACACACACACACACACACACACACACACACACACACACACACACACACACACACACACACAACGTACTAGCCTATCAGGTAGTCTCACCTCCCAGGTCACATCCCAGGTCACCTCCCAGGTCACCTCCCAGGTCATCTCCCAGGTCGCATCCTCCCCAACTCAGCCCTCCTATACATCCCCCCTGCCTCAGCCTCCCAAAACCCCCCTGTCCCTTCCACATTTGCACCTCCACAACGATTCCCCTGCCCCTGCTACATCACACTTGTCAGCGACCCCAGTGGGTCAAGCAATGCCCTCCCCAAACCCACCTTCCCATCCCCCCTCCCCAAATACCCTTCCCACTCCCCTGCCCCTTCTACCCCATTGACTTCAATTCCATCTACTCCATCCCAGCTTCCACTGCACCCCTCTTCCACTCACCCCCAAACCCCACCCAACCCTCACCCCTCCTATGCACCTCCAGCCCACATTTAACCCCCTCACCTTGTGACCCCCTAACACCTTCCCCCATCTCCCTCTTCCCCTCTTCTACCCCAAAACCCCCACCTACCCCCGATTCCCCCTAACTAATATACCCTCTCTTCCACTCCCAGCACCCATGCTCCATTCTCATCTCAGCTCTCCGCCCTCAGTAGCCCTCTTCCCCCAACCTCTCAACCTCTATCTGACTCTCAGTCTCACTCTATTTCTCAACCCCCCTATGCTATTCAGACCCCTAACTTTCAGACCCATTATGCCCTTCCTACCCCCCTAGATGCCCAGACCCCATTCGCCTACCAGGCACTCCCAGGCACCCCCCTAGCACCCCCCCACTCACCCCCACAGCCCCCACTTGCCCCCCAGACACCCCCCAGTTCCCCCCAGACCCCTGGTGAAAGGGGGAACTCTGACACCCGAGTTTCCAAGAAGAGTCTCAAGGTTTGGTACACCAATGCTGATGGGGTAGCCAATAAAGCAGAAGAGATAAAAGAAAGAGTTAGTGAGGCAGACCCAGACATAGTGGCAATAGTGGAAACTAAAATAAATGGCATGATCTCGGATGCAATCTTTCCAGAGGGGTACCAGGTGATAAGAAAAGAAAGGACACAGAGACAGGGAGGATTTGTGGCACTACTAATAAAGCGGAAATGGAAGTTTGATGAGCTGGAAAATCCGGGTACCAATGAAAGCACAAGCTTCATACATGGAACTCTGACAGTGGATGGGAAGAAGATTGTAATCTTGATACTCTACAATCCCCCACCAAACAGTAGAAGGCCCAGGCAGGAGTACGAGGACAGCAACAAGACATGTATGGATGAACTGCAGAGGGCAGCAACTTTAGCGCATAGAATGAGAGCGAAGCTGCTGGTCATGGGGGACCTAAATCACGGAGAGATAGATTGGGAAACGAGGAATCCCCATGGCGGGGAGGAGACCTGGGGAGCGAAGCTGGTAGACGTTATTGACAGGAATTTCCTAACACAGCATGTGAAAGAAGATACTAGGGAAAGAGGAGGGGATACGCCCAGCCTATTAGATCTCATTATCACTCAGAATGTAGAAGACATCGAGCAGTTGGAACATGAAATACCACTAGGAGCTAGTGACCATTGTGTCCTAGCCCTTGACTACATGATGGAGCTTAAAATTGTGACCAAAGGACAAGAGGTCCGGGAAAGGAGACTTGATTACAGAAAAGGGGACTACAGAAGGATAAGGGACTACCTGGGAGAAGTGCAGTGGGAGGAAGAACTTAGAGGAAAAACAGTGCAAGGTATGATGAACCAAGTCATATTGAAATGCAAGGAGGCTGAAGATAGATTTATTCCAACAATAAAGAAAAAAAACCGGAGGGAATATAATAACCCATGGTTTAATAGACAGTGTCAGGAAGCAAAGGTGAGAAGCAGGAGGGAGTGGAGGAAGTACAGAAGACAAAGGACAGAGGACAACAGGATTAGATGTAACAGAGCTAGGAATGATTACATTAACATAAGACGAGTGTCGGAAAGAAATTATGAGAACGATATTGCAGTCAAAGCGAAAAAGCAACCAAAATTACTACATAGCCATATAAGAAGGAAGATGTCGGTAAATGACCAAGTGACAAGACTGAGGAAAACAGAAGGGGCATATACAGAAAGCGACAAGGAAATCTGTGAGGTACTGAATGCAAAATTCCATGGAGTGTTCACTACCGAGCCTGAGCAGCTCCCATTGTTAGAAGAGATTACCCAAGATGAAAGACTATCAGATATAGAGGTGACAGCAGAGGATGTAATGAAACAGTTGACAACACTGGATGCAAATAAAGCTGTTGGACCAGACAAAGTATCACCGTGGATACTTAAAGAGGCAGCGCAGGCTCTCAGCGTGCCTCTGGCAATGATCTTCAATGAGTCACTTATGTCGGGAGAATTGCCCAGTTGCTGGAAGGAGGCAAATGTCGTACCGATTTTCAAAAAGGGGGATAGGGAGGAGGCACTTAACTACAGACCCGTATCACTGACAAGCATCCCCTGCAAAATACTTGAAAGAATAATTAGGCTAAGACTTGTTGAGCACCTGGAGAGCATTGGGTTTGTAAACAAGCACCAACATGGGTTCTGGACAGGGAAATCATGCCTAACAAACCTTTTAGAATTCTATGATAAAGTAACAAGGATAAGGCAGGACAGAGAAGGCTGGGCAGACTGCATATTTCTTGACTGCCAAAAGGCCTTTGATACGGTACCGCACATGAGACTGCTATACAAACTTGAGAGGCAGGCAGGAGTAAGCGGAAAGGCCCTAGTATGGGTGAAGAACTACCTAACAGGAAGGAGCCAGAGGGTAATGGTAAGGGGCGAAAAGTCGGACTGGCGAACAGTAACAAGTGGAGTACCTCAAGGATCGGTGCTGGGACCAATCCTCTTTCTAATTTACGTAAATGATATGTTTACAGGAGTGGAATCATACATGTCGATGTTTGCAGATGACGCAAAATTAATGAGAAGAGTTGTGACAGACGAGGATTGTAGGATCCTCCAAGAGGACTTAAACAGGCTGCAGAGATGGTCAGAGAAATGGCTACTGGAGTTTAACACCAGTAAATGTAAAGTTATGGAAATGGGATCAGGTGACAGGAGACCAAAGGGACAGTACACAATGAAGGGGAACAGCCTACCTGTAACGATTCGAGAAAGAGACCTGGGAGTGGATGTGACACCTAATCTAACTCCTGAGGCACATATAAATAGGATAACGACAGCAGCGTACTCTACACTGGCGAAAATTAGAACTTCATTCAGAAACCTAAATGAGGAAGCTTTTAGGGCGCTTTACACTGCCTACGTGAGACCCGTCTTAGAGTATGCCGCGCCATCATGGAGCCCCCACCTGAAGAAACACATAAAGAAACTGGAGAAGGTTCAGAGGTTTGCGACGAGGCTTGTCCCAGAGCTACGAGGGATGGGATATGAAGAGCGGCTGAAGGAACTGAACCTTACGACACTAGAGAAAAGAAGGGAGAGAGGAGATATGATAGGGACATATAAAATACTCAGGGGAATTGACAAAGTGGAAATAGATCAAATGTTCACACGTAATAATAACAGAACGAGGGGACATGGGTGGAAACTGGAAACTCAGATGAGTCACAGAGATGTTAGGAAGTTTTCTTTTAGCGTGAGAGTAGTAGAAAAATGGAATGCACTTGGAGAACAGATTGTGGAAGCAAATACTATTCATACTTTTAAAACTAGGTATGATAGGGAAATGGGACAGGAGTCATTGCTGTAAACAACCGATAGCTAGAAAGGCGGGATCCAAGAGTCAATGCTCGATCCTGCAAGCACATATAGGTGAGTACATATAGGTGAGTACACACACACACACACACACACACACACACACACACACACACACACACACACACACACACACACGCACTCACACACAGTATGCGGCACCAGCATTGAGCCCGTACCTTGAAAAGCAAAAGACGAAGCTGGAAAAAGTTCAGAGGTATGCCACTAGGCTAGTCTCAGAACTAAGAGGCATGAGATACGAGGAAAGGCTGTGGAAAACGCACCTCACGACACTGGAAGACAGAAGACTAAGGGGAGACATGATCACTACCTACACAATTCTCAGAGGAATTGACAGGGTCGATAGGGATAAACTGTTTAACACAGTTGGTACGCGAACAAGGGGACACAGGTGGAAACTGAGTACCAAAATGAGCCACAGGGACGTTAGAAAGAACTTTGTCAGTGTCAGAGTAGTTAACAGATGGAATGCATAAGGATGTACAAACAATTGTCTTCCTGGCTCCGTTGTTTGCTAATAGTAAATATTCCTTGGAAATATTGTTTACTTTCTTCTTTACTAGACCATTTGTATAATATAATAAAGTTAATGATTATATGCACTAATATGATCATCATTTAATGATTATATTCATGCATGGCGGGGATAATAATCTTAATTAATGTTGGACAATAAAGACAATATCCTCGCCCCAAGACGTCATCTGTGACGATCAAACTTACCACCTGAGTTGAGATCATTATCTCTGTCCATGGTGGAGAACTTCATCCCACTGAGGTTCTGGTGCTGTACAAGGACGTCGCCCATGGTACTCCTTCTCTGGTACCCGGCCACCAGCAGCTGGTACCTGGTCAATGGAAGGAGAAGGTGAGAGGTACCAGGTACCACAGAGTTAGAGGTGCAGGTACCTGGTCAGTGGTGAGAGTGGTGGAGGGGTAGTGTGGGTGGTGGTGGTGATGACATTCTAGCTTTATACGCAACAGCAATTATGAAACGCTGTAGCTAGATATCGCACTATAATCCGCAAGTAGTTACCGTACATCTGGCAGCTCAGTGGATTAGTAGCTGCGTTCATAGGCTAGTCAACTGTCCCTCACATCCGTCAAATAGCCATCCAAATGTCGCACCGCAATTCAACCATCTAACATCTCAGCTGGATGCTAGCCACTATATTCATAGACTATCATTTTTACACCTCCAAAGCCCTAGTCTTGCTACGCAAATCAGCTAACTTGTTTCTAAACCAACAGTCACAAATACAAGCATACATATGTTATGAACTAGACTCTACCATCGGAGCACGGAGCAGCGACGTCAACGCCATCTGTGAGTCCGCTCCTGAAACCCCCCACAACATGGACAATGCCATCTAGTGATGACGGGAATATACCGGCAAGAGGTGCTTCAGATTCCTGTCCTAGTCGGCTCATGCGGTAGCTGGTGCTGACCTCTAGTGAGGTTCTGTGTAGAAAAGCAGCGCCATCTATCATAAACGGAGTTGGATGTATGTGTCTAAGTCAGTAAGTGATGTTTCCTAGTGGTCCTGTGTAGTGTCCCAGTGTACTGATGACGTGTCTGTATTCACAGAGTCGACGTAGGGCTGCTGTGATACACGGAGTGTCAGTCTCCCCAGGGCAGCCAAGGTCTCTACCCAAGTCTGCTTTAAGGAAGCAGTGAGCCGCCGCCGGAAAAAAACTGTGAAGTGTTCTACTGTCTGCCTATGGAGTGGAAGTGATGGGATTCGCCATACCCGGGGCTGGTTGATAGAAGAGACAACTGACTAAGGTGCCGAAAGAGGAGAGTAACCAGCGAGTTACACGAAGCTCCTGCCAAGGGCTCGCAACCCTAGTATTCGCTCGTGAAGTGGCCTAGCAGCGCGAGGCTGATTGGTATCTGCCAGCAACAGGCTGGACTATGATTGTGGGACTTCACGAAGAGGCAGTTAGTGGAATTGTGGTTTGGCTGGCCCGTGGCCACTCATTGTTGTTTCCTGGTACCTGCTAAGAGGAGTACCACGGATGAGGAAACAAGACTGCATCGATTGAGCTTCGCCGAGTGTTTAATGTCTTCTGAGAGAGTTGTTGGTGTACATACAGTGTTGTAATACTTCCTTCTAAGAATATATAATTATATATATATATATATATATATATATATATGGGATAATAATTATATATATATATATGGTGATGGGATAATAATTATATATTGATAAAGTGATGAACTGTTGTATTTAATGTACCTCCCTTTTTTATTTTACTTGCATTACTGAGCCCACCCCTTGAAAGCCACTACTAACTTGGGGCCGGATAACAGAACTTTAATTTCACCAGAAAAGAACCTGGTTGCGTCCCATTGTGGCCGTAACATAATTGGCATCCCCAGCGGGATCTGACCTCTTCTCATTTACGTTTGACAGGGGTGGTGACGTAGTGCAGTCCCCTGTGAATAATTCCCCTGTTTGTTATTCTAGAACATTACATATGCAGAGCTCAAGGTGATTAAGTGCGGTGCTCAGTGTGATTAAGTGCAGTATTGGCGAGCACGATGCTCGGTTATTATAAGTGCATAGTGTCAAGTGAAGCGGTGTGTTAATTGTTCGTGCACCACTTGGGTGATAAAATGACAGAGAGAGTGACCATTCAGGATCTGGACGATGTTCAGGAATTTCTGAACACGGATGACTGTCTTGCTGGATTGAAATATCTGGGAAAGCAAGAACTTGTGCTGGTGAGTGCCTATCTAGAGATTAAAATATGTGAGAGTGATTCCGTGTTGAAATCTTATCGAAGGCTCATAAGCACTTAAAGGCCGGGGAGAAGCAGGAAAGCGAGGCACAGAGTGCAAAGGAAAGAAAGGTGGCTTCCACTGAAAAAGAAGACAAAGGTAGTGACGGTGAAAGTGATGCGGGTGAACTGAATATAAGTTTTCTAAGTGTCAAAATGCGTACCTAAGAAATAAATCGTAAGATAGAGTGGAAGAAATTAGAAATAAAACGAGAAATGAAAGTGAAGGAAATAGAAATGAAACATTTGGAATTAGAGCCAGAGAGAGAAAGAGAAGAGCGAGAAAGACAAGTAAGAGAGAAGGAAAGAGAAGAAAGAGGAGAAAGAGAAGAACGTGAAAGGCAGGAAAAGGATAAGGAAAGACTACACAAGTTAGAAGTGCTACAAATAGGTGGTCAGAGGAAAACAACGGAAACGAGTAGTTTCGATCCGGTAAGAATGTTACGGCCCTATTGGGTCGCAACTGGGGTTCTTCTCTGATGTTATTAGAGTTTGGGTATCCGGCCCAAAGTTAGTAGTGGCTTTCAAGGGGTGTGTTCCGTAACGCAAGTAAATTAAAGGGGAAGGGATACAAATACACTAAATTAAATATATAATTACCACCACCAATAAATAAATATATAAACTATCACACAGGGGGTATAAACACTATAATGTACAGTATGGTCTTCCTCTGAAGACGCGGAATGTTCCACGGTGCTCAAGATGAGGAGCCCTGGTTCTCTTCTCGTGGCCTCACGATGAATCCTTAGATTCTCTAGGCGAGTCTACCCCGGCCACAGGCCAGCCAAATCACAGTCCCAATGGGTGCACCGTCGTGGAGGCCTTCAACCACAAATCCAGCCTGTAGCTGGCAGGTTCCAATCAGCTACGCTGCGTAGGCCACTCCACGACCGATACTAGGGTTGTGAGCCCTAGGCAGGAGCCTCGTGTGATTCCGCTGATCACTCTCCTCTTGCTACACCCCAGTGGCTAGTCTTCTCCACCAGTCAGCCCCGGGTATGACAATTCCTGGTTCTGCCACGTCCTAGGCAGGCTAGCACAACAGTGTTCATCCGGGGGGTGACTCACAGCTTCTACAACAAACACGTGGAAAGACTCTGGCTGCCTTGGGTAGACTGCCCATCGTCCAATCCAGCAGTCCCAGGTCGACTCTGTAATCAGACACGTCATCAGTAACAGGGACACTCTAGGGCATCTCGCTCACAGGCTTAGACGCAAACGTCCACCTATCCACTCCATAGATGGCGTTGCTGTCTAAGCGCCATCTCACCAGAGGTCAGCAGCGACTATGTCATGAGCTGATCAAGACGGGAAACCAGCCCCTGTGGCCGGTATATCCTGTCCTCACTAGATGGCGCCGTCCATTTGGAGGGGGTTTCGGGAGCCGACTCACAGATGGCGTGGTCGTCACAGCTCCGTGTTATGACGCTGGGCTCGGGTCCGTAACAAAGAAATATAAAGATGGTCCCTAAATTCAACGAAAAGGAAGTTTCGAAGTTCTTCGCTGCCTTCGAGAAGGTTGCAGCCTCTTTGGATTGGCCAAAGGAGAATTGGGCCATCATGATACAGTCCGTCTTGACTGGGAAGGCCCAAATTGCCTACTCCACGTTGTCGCTTGATGATTCCAGTGATTACGACCAGGTGAAGAAGGTAGTGCTTATGGCTTATCAGTTGGTGCCTGAAGCTTATAGGCAAAAGTTCAGGAACCTGAAGAAGCCCTCGGAGCACACGTTCACCGAGTTTGCGAACATCAAGGAAAGGCTTTTTCAGGAGTGGTGTGCATCTCGAAAGGTGAAAACAAAAGAACTCGAGCAGCTTGTTTTGTTGGAGGACTTTAAGGAATGTCTGTCTGGAGATCTCAAGACATACCTAGAAGAGCAGCAGGTAGAGACCTTGAGTGCGGCAGCCACCATGGCTGAGGAGTACATTCTAACTCATCGATCTTCTACCAGGTATGTCCCGAAGAGTTACCCACGACTGTTCGGTAAATTTCGTCAAGAAGAAGAGAGACCCGTCCCACAAAGTGCTATGAAGACGCCACCAGGTAGTCCCCGAAAGACTAGTCCTAGCAGTCCAAAACACTGTAGTCCAAGAAGGAACGTAGTGTGTGTGACTTGCGGGCAGAGAGGGCACATTGCTGCTACGTGCCGAGGCAGAAGTAACGACCCGCATAGGGGAGTAATGCTGATGGATTGTGTGACACCACCAGCTGGAACCCAGTCTCTAATGAAGAGTAAAGAAGGACCAGGATTGTTTGCCCCTCACACTTCAGGCGGGTATGTCGCGAGTGATCATACTGGTAGATCCAGTATGTAGTGCTCAGAGATAGTGGAGCAGCCCATTCCCTGATCGTGAGAAGCTCGTTACCGAGGGAGTGTACATGGATGAGAAACGAAAGGTTATTCTAGTTGGGTTTCCCTCGATACGGTACGTTGCCCCCTTAGTGCAAATACACTTAAACTCGCCTTACTTCAGTGACACATGTGCGTTGGCGGTAGTTGATACTCTGCCCATAGCCGGAATAGAGATAGTACTAGCCAACGACTTGGTGATAGGTATTAACATACAACATCAGCGATCCCATAACTGTGGATAACCCAGTTGCAGACATAACACCTATGGAAGGAGATTATGTCTGATCTCAGGCAGAGACGTCTTTCACAGTGTTTAAGTCTCCCTCTACCCAGCAGATTGTAACCACTCCAACAAATTCTCCCACTTCTCCTGACTCCACTCTCGAACGGAAGCATGGGGCTACAGTGATCTGTACAACTAAGCCAAAGGAGGAACCTCGTGTGCAAGTGCTCACCTATACCCCAGAGTCTGGAGCGACGACAGGTAATCGGTACTTGCGGGATGGCAAGGTACGGTGTTTACGGAACCGGCCCAGAACTCTCCAGACAGTATGTGCAGAGGTAGATGAGGGAAGTGCACAGGTTCAAGCGCCCCCCAAAATCCAATCCAGGCTAATGGAAGAAGTCAGGTCAGGACATTGTAGGCTAGTGAGAGTTGTTCCCCATTTAGAAAAGTGTTTCTTGTTCGTGTTTTGTATTGATCT